ATTATTGCCTTTTGATGATTCTCGTACGTCTGCAAGGAAACAACATCGGTCAAAGCTAGAAGATAGTGTGTTGAAGATGACCTTAGCAAGGGTTGTTTTGCCAACACCGCCCATTCCGTGGATTCCAAGAAATCGTACACTATCAGATTCCACATCCAACATTTTGATTATAGCTTCTACACGATCATCAACTCCAACTAGATGTTCAGTCACATTTTTATATCTGACATTCAGCTTAACCAAAACCGTTTGAATTACCAATTGTATCAGATCTCCTTGCCTGCCATAACGTAACAACCGTGTTAGGGACGACTTTCATATTGTAGGAAACTACTCCCTAAGTGACTCAATTACCCTCACATGTTGAGGAAATAACGCATAAAAATCTAGACACCTATTCGATTATGATTTTTGCTAATCTCTCTCCGTTCCCCAACTTCAGTCACCATCACCGTTGGCCCCTGCCACTGCCTCGTGGCCATTGACGTCGCTCGCCTCCCTGCAGCGTCACCATCGCATTCCGGTGCCGTTGCCCATTGCTCCCCATTGCCCCGCCATCTCAGCCTTGCCTCAATTCTCCACGTCACGTGGGTCATGGCCTTGTGATTGCTGGGAATGGCGGCCTTGGGTGACCCCAGAATTGGGGTAGCCCATGGTCAGCGACATCGGATATGGTTTGGTGGCATCAGACCTGATGTCCAGATCCCGGATCCAGGATCCAACTCACCTTGGTGAGCGAGACAGAGAGTGTGAGGGCTGGATGGCTCGAAGGCTTCTGGCAGCTTGCTACCGGGCTGGCTACGAAGAAGTGGCTTTGACTGGCGGACGAGCTGCTGTGGTGGCTAGCCGGCTACTTGGTGGAGCTGCTCGGACTTCTATTACTGTTCGTGGCTTGTGCGTCAGAGACGGAGAGTGAGAGGAGAGAGAGAATCAGGATGAGTAGGGTGAGCTACCACAACTGGAGCTATTGCGGTGATACCGCCGATAGCGGCTGCTTATGGCCACTGCCAGTGAGAATTCCGTTCTCGCCGCTATAGTGGCCGATAGCAATGGCAGCAGCCACTATTTAAAGTATATAGAATCGACTAGGAGAATTATACTAGGAAAATGAAATCTATGAAATCTACAGTTGAAAAGTTTAAGACATTTACCCCTCATCTTTCTTCCAGTTCCATCCCTTTATCTTGCCCACCTCAATGAGAGCATTTTCCCATGACTCTACTTCAGTGCACAACGCCTTCCGGTGCTTTGAAAGAGTTTGTCTGTACAAATTTGTTTTGAGCTTGACATCAACAGGTTCTACGTTCAAGAAAATCGGCAGAATCTCTTTGTTCCTATTCGATTTCGAGGTGCACTCGACAATATATGCAAGTTCTCGAAGGCACCAGTGACTGGAAGCATAATTCTCGGAGAATATGGGAATGTAGATCTTGGAGTTCTCAATTGCTTGTAGAAGTTCACCACCAATTTTGTTACCAACACGGAGGGAATCGTCGTCCCTAAACACATGGATCCCAGCTTCAACCATGTCATGGTAAAGACAATCGGTGAATTCATAACGGGTATCCGCTCCTCGAAAACTTAGAAAAACCTCATACGAAGGTCCGGATGATGCTTGTGAATCCATCCTTTCCTCCATTGTAGAATCTCCAAACACCACAGAAATCAAATCCTTTCTATCTCTCGGGGAAGTTTGCTTTGGGTGTGCTTGGATCTGAGCGTGGGCTGTCAATATGATAAGCTCTCAGTCTCTGGCGTCATGGGACTACAAAAAGCCGCTGGACTTCGAATATTACATCAGTCAACACGTTTCTTTTTTTTTCTTTTTCCCTTAACGCACCTTCATCTTTTGATTAATTTGTTTCATGTTCGTGTATATCTTATCTACTTTGCATCGGTTTGGCCACCGAATTTCCCAAATCAATATTAAAATGCGAAATTTATTTCAAAACACCATCACTATTAAGAAAAATACATTACTAGCTTTTAAGTGAAGAGACTTATCTGCATTGGAATTAACATAATTACAAAATTAAAATTATTATATATGCATCAGAAATTTAACCTTACTTTAATTTTTTTGATTATTAAAATTAAATTATCATATGCGTGTCATAAACTTAACCTCACTTTATGAAGTGCCGTTATTACCAACAAAAACAGTTAAAATAATATAAGAGATTGAAAAGATATTCACACTATTACTTAGTTACAAAATAAGGTGACAAATTTTGTATGCTTGACTATGCCCTACCTTTTCAAATGATCATTTATAGTATATAGATCTAGATCGCAAACAAATATGGAAAGATATATGATGCCACACATTAAACATAAAGACAACTATATAAAAGACGCTAAAATATTCCGAATATGTGACATTCCGAGATTTCGCTCATTTGAGATTTATGAAATGAATTATTTTATTAATGTGCTCGTAACTAGTTCTCACCCGGAACTGATCATTCCTGGGATACTAACCAGTAGGGAAAGGCTAATTAGGGATTTAAAATTCGTACGACTAAAGATAATTCAATCGTGAATGGACTTTCGACCATAAAATCGTCGAGGTGATATTTTGAGCCACTGTTGGCCGATCCAAGGATAGTTAGGAGTCAGCTCGCCACTATCATAGTAGTGGATCGCGGGTGATTCCGCTGGACCGCGAAATGACTTGACGAATGATCCTGAACTTATACCAAACGATCGTGCCGCTCGGATCTAGCAATTGATCCTCGCTATTTTAATGACAACCGAAGTCATTACGGTCTGAATAAATTGTACGTGACTCGATTTAGTATCAGTCACAGGTCGTACAGGCGAATTTCCCAAAAGCCACCCGTTAGTCTGAGAAACGCTCGAGTTACGTTATGAATATATAATTGGAATATTGAGTAGAGACCAAACCGAGCATCAAAAAATTCGGAAAGTCACGGTAGGACCTTTGGACGACGTTGTAATTGGAACGTACATCTCTGGATTTCTTCGGATTTTTCAGAAAAGTTCGATTTCGGTGAGAAACAGAGAAACTGACCATTTTACCCTTGGAATTTATTAAAGGGTTAGTTTTAAGGGGCAAGGGCATTTTGGTAATTTTGCCCTAAAAGTTGGAAAAGACAATTTTGCCCTTGGACTTTTTGAGAAATTATGAGATTGCCCTTAGATATTTTTGGTAAGATTCGATCTGGGCCGTTGATTTCAAGATTAGATCGAATCTGGACCGTTGGATCAAAAAGATTAGACAAGGGCATTTTGGTCATTTGCCATTTTGGTCTAAAATGCACTATTTGAGTCAAGATCAACCTTTCTCTCTCCTCTCTCTCTCTCTCTCTCCCCCATTCGGTTTTCTCCTCCCCCCACCATGAGCCCCTCCGATCCCCCTCTCTCTCTCCCGCCGTCGCCGCCGTCCGTGCGCTCGCCGGACCGCCGCCGTGCCGCGCCGTCCTCGCAGTCGCGCCACCACCAGCCCCACGCCGTCCCTCTCCCTCCCGGTTTCCCTCTCCCCTATCTCGGCTGTGAGCCAATCGGCCACCGCCCAAGCCGCGCTGTTGCCACCCAAGCTGGTCGCCGCCCGCCGGGAGCCGTACACCGTCGCCGCCGTTCCCGATTAAGTGCCGCCGCTTCCCGTTCTAGCCGTGTGAGTCTAGAACTAGGTAAGTCGCGCTCTAAACCCAATTTAGGACTTCGGGTATCGACGGATGATTTTTGGGGAGAGACCGGGTTTAATACTATGTGGAATTTGTTTGATTTATGGATAAAACCCATAGGCGGGCCTGATAGTGGAATTTGGAAATTTTTATTGGGAAATTTAAGGACAACAGTGAGCTGTGGAGGACTGTTCATGGGGCTGTGATGGGCCGATCGGGACGCAAGTTGGATTTCTAGAACTGACATTTAATGGCGAGAAAGTCTCGTGAAGGACCGAAATCGATTTGATGCCATTTGGTTGGAGAAAAATGGCGAATTGTGTGTTTATGGTGTGTTTGAACTGTGACTGAAATTTTGTGATGAAATTGAGTGCATGGTTGTGTTATTGTCCAATTGAAATATGCCTGTTGGGTGCACGTGTGGGCTAGACTGATTTAATTATTAAAATTGGCCATGTCAAATGCTGAGTGAGCATGGGTTGTGTGTAATTGATGCGTGCACGGGCCACGTGTGATTGGCCAGTTGTGTGTGGTAATTGCTTGTTGAACATATGCCTGAGTAAGAAAGTGGATGTGGTATGACATGAATTCGTGGAAATTGTGCCGTCCTGAGGCGTGTACGTTTACGCGGGACGATGCCCGGTATTACCGGAAGACTGCCAGCCTGAGGCGTGTACTTTAACGCGGGTTGCGTAGTAGGTGGTAGGCGTTGAGCCTGAGGCGTGTACGTTTACGTGGGCCCGGAAGTGTTGTGAAAAGAGGTCGCAGTGTACCTGAGGCGTGTACTGTAACGCGAGTCACTGGCGAGGCATGTGGAAACGAGATAGTGAGAACGGAATGAGTGCATGACATGAGAATTGTGCATTCTTGTGATTGTACTGATGTGCCTGCTATGTGATAATGGTGCGTGTGATTGTGTTTGTGAAATTGTCTGGAGGTACGTGATAGCCTAGGTGGGGTTTAGGGGTGAACTTGCTAAGAAGTGTTCTCATGGTTGTTTCAACCAATATTTTCAGAACCCCGACCTGAGCCATGAACCCACTGCCACCGGCACCGCCACCAGAATGTTTTGGGGTACCAGTGCACACCGAGAATGAAGTTACAGAGTTTCCGATGGGTGATGGAATGACCTAGATTAAGCATACCACGACCGTTTTTGTAGAAGTAGGATTACCTCTTTGGGAGACACACGTTTATACTGCCTGGTTCTTCCGGGATGCGAACGGGGCTGAGTTCGGACCCGTTAGAGGATTTGATGTTCCGTTTGATCTAGTTGGGGATTGGGACCCGACTGCCGTACCCCCGATTAATGGAGAACTGACCAGTACAGAGGTTAGTTTAGCGCAATCTGGGATGCATTCAGCACCCGCAGTGCAGGGATCTTCAGAGGCTGAGCATGAACCTGAGCCTGAAGCATCACAAGCTGAGGATGACCTGTTGGACATAGACTTAGAACCAATCCTCGAAGAGGAACCGGAGGAAGAAGAACCAGAGGAAGTGGAGCCCGAGGTAGAACCCGAGAACGAATCTGAGGAGTCAGAAGAGCCTGTAGGAGAACCGGATTATGTACTCCCATATGAACAGTATATGGATCCCAATTTCGTGCCGGAGTACAATTTCTTTGATTTTCTAGCCGAGGAGTACCAGAACGCTATTCCAGCTGAGTCGGGTGACATTGATCATCCGATTGTGATTGAGGCAGAGCCGGAGTCTTCGGAGGAGCAAACGGATTAGGGGAGTTCAGACTCCAGTGATGATGAGTCAGATTCTGAATGGACTCCGAGTAAGGGGCGAAAAGGATAGTGTAGGGGCGCAAAAGTCAGGCTTTTGGCGAGTACCACTTTTGAGATTTGGATGCCAGGTTACCGATCTTTTTGTATATCGGTAGTTTGTAATACGGTGTGCACATGTATATTAAGGTTTGTAAGATTGTGAATATTATGTTATAAGTTCGAATGAGAAAAGAATATGTGTATTCTCCCTGAATGTTTCCCCAGTTTTAAATTGTTCGGGATTAATTGTGGTTTCCGCCGTTGTGTTAAACCTCTGATGTTTGTAATTGCGGTCGGCGATAACCCTGGGATGTCGCATAAATCGACCAGTGGCGGATGTCGCGAGCTCGATAGGGATTCGGGGCGTGACAGAATATATGTGAGATTTGATAAATCGCGAATCATATCAATGAAGATTACACAAAATCAAATCAAATATATCTAGCATCCCACTCAAAATAAGATGACGGCAGTTTAAACAGCTTCATTTTCAAAATGAAGCTGTGAAATAGCCTAGATTATCAGATTTAGCAACGGAGTGAATGTAGAGTGCCACAAACTGTATGTTTTTGATTTACAAAATGGATTGATTTGCAAAATTCTCAATACGAACTATTTTATTAATTATGATCTAATCGTGAGCAGCTTGATATATTTTAGTTCAAATTTTTAAAATTGCAACTTGCTTATCTTAAATTTTAAATTGAAATTTTAAAAGAAAGTAACGAGAGGGGGCGATGAATTATCAAATTGAAATTAGTCCTGATTGGTTAATTGTATGGATAGCACACAATCCCAAGTCAAAGTCTTGCAATATCTTGCTTGCTTCGTTGCATTTTCCTATTCTTTTCTTCCGACCAAAGATGGGGATAAGGTCCGACCCAAAAAAAAAAAAAAAGAGGATAAGGCAAAAGCTTAGAAAACCTGTGTTCTGAGTGCTCCCTTCTTGATATTCTGGTGGTGTAGAAACTGTATAAATCTGATTGTACTTTACTAGACAAGGCTGTGCTTCTATAATCTGGGAAGAGAGTGAGTTATAGTGTTGTGAGAGGTGCTTGTGCTTGAGTTTATAAAATCATCTACTCAAGCTTCGTGTAGAAAGAGCAACCTATGCAAACTTAAAATTTCAAAGATTACAAAGTAGATTCCAATCTTGTTGTGACGTTTAGAGTTGGAAGAGTGGAGTAAGCCAAGTGGAAGACATTTCTTCTATCTCATTATTTCTTTTATTATCCGTTTAATAAAAGATACTGTGCACAACTGTTTTTCAATACAACAACACATTCTACTCGTCATTCACGAAATTTAAATTTTCCTAAAATAAAACAATTCACCTCCTCTGAGTCAATGTGCTTGTCCATTTATCAGGAAATATTTTTAGTTGATGTTCGTATGAAAATGAGAAAGCATGGTCTTTGTCTGCTTCAGTAGTGCTAGGTGTGACATTCCGAATTTCGACCCATTTTTGGGATTTATAAAACGTGTATTTCGTCAGTGCGTTTATTGTTAAATCTCGCCCAGAATTGATTACTCTCGGGTTATTTTAAATTTGAGATTTCACTAAAATCGCATTCGATCGAATTTGGCCGTTATTTAGAGCCCGAACTTTGGTGTCGAATTTCTCGGAGTTTCGTGATGAATTTAATTGAACGATGTCGATATTATTGTGGCCAGCGTCGATATTGCCAGGAATAGTGGAAAAGTAAAAATTTGGACCGGGTGCAGATTTTAACTAGTATACCTCCCTCTGGGTTTATTTTACTCAGTGTCTGTTGGCCTTTTCTTTTATTTGAATTGGGATTTTTAGTGGCTGTTGGATCAGTCAACGAGATCGATTTGTGGCCGTTGGATCGCACTTGAGTGCAATTTGACTTTCTCTCTCTCTCTCTCCTCTCTGCCGCGCCCCTCCCCTACGCGTACGTCCCCTCCTTCTTCCCCCCATGCAAACCCTCCCTCTCTCTCTCTTCCTTTTTCTTTCTTTTCTTTTCCTCCTTTCTTCTTCTTCTCTTCTTCTTCTTCTTCCTTTCCCCCTTCCCCCGCCGCTGCTCCTGCTCGACCACCGCTCGTCCCCAGCCCAGCCGCTTGCCATGCTCGACCATTGCCGGCCGTCCGCTTAGCGCCGCCTCCCCGTTAGCCGCCGCACCGCCCGTCCAGTTGTCCCCCTCGGCTTGGCTATCCTTCCTCCCCTTCAAGCGCAGCAGCAGGTCGCCGCCACGCCTGCCGCGGTCCGGCGTTGCCCAGCCGCTTGTCGGCCAGTCCTCCGTGGCCCGGCCGTCCGCGACGCCGCTGTGCCGCCTTCGGCCGCCGCACGACCATCCCCTCCCCCTGTTTTTCTTTTCCCCGGCGCCTTCCCTTGTTTCAGCTCCTAGGCTTCACCGTCGCCGCGCACCGCCATTCCGGCCGCTGCGGCTCCACCTCCGCCACCAAGCCTCTCCCCTCAGCCACCTCCGCCGCCCTGCTGCCCCCTCTTGGCCACCACCACCTCCCTTCCCTTGTTTTTTCCTCTCCCCTAACGCCTCCCCTGTTTTTGGCTCACCCCGGCTCCGCAGCTCGCCCAGCCGCCGCTATTTTGCCCGCCACCACCCAGTACCCCCAACAGCTCCGCCGTCACTAGCAGCCACTGTGCTCGCCTGGACAGCCCGGGCCACCCCAGCTCAGTGTTGGCCAGACTATCCTGGCCGTGGCCGAGCCTTCGTCGCCCAGCCACCATCGCTGTCGCCGTCGCCTGGCCGCTGCCCCGGGTCGTGCCCGTCGTTGCCCAGCCGCTCATCGAGTAGCCCAGCTGTCGCCTGTCCGCCCAGGCCGTTGCCCAGCCCGTGGCCGAGCGCCGTGGCCGACTACTGTGCTCGCTATGCCCTTGCCTGCGCCGAGCCGCCACTGTTCACTCGGGCCATTTTGGGCCCCTAGCCGGTTTTCCCCGGGCCAAATTTAGGCAAGCGACTCCCTAAACCCTACCTAGTACTTTGGGTATTTTTATACTTGTTTAGAGGTTAATTAGCATCGGCTTAGTGGCTAATTAGTGGATTAAATTATGGTGATTGTGTGGCTTAATTAGTGGCTGATTTATGTGGGTTCAATGACCGGATTGTTGGGGCATTTGTGGGTGAAATTAACGTTTGAACGTGCCGACTTGAATGTCGGATTGGTAGGCTAGCGTGGTGAATTGGTGATTTGAAGTTGATTTGTACGACGTGTTAGAATGGCGAATTGTATTGTGGTGTATGTGCATGAGGAATGTCCTGAGGCGTGGTTACGCAGGACTAAACCCGGATTGATCGGAGGGCTGCCAACCTGAGGCCTGGTTACGCGGGTGTGGCTAGAAAGGCAAGAAATGATCTGAGGCGTGGTTATGCGGGTCGAGAGAAATGTCCTGAGGTGTGGTTACGTGGGACTGAGCTCGGATTGATCAGAGGGCTGAGCCTGAAGCGTGTTGACGCGGGCTGTGAGATTGGACCTGAGGCGTGGTGATGCGGGTCGTGGATAGTTGCTCGGCCACGTATGCGAAATGTGTTTGGTTAAATTGAGTGAATGTACGTGATTATGGTGCTTGAGTGTTTATATTACGTTCTTGAGTTATTATCGCATTATTGTGATTTAACTAATATGCAGAGTTGGCACTTAGTTCAAGGCGAGATAAGTATGTTTGTGTGGATACGAATGTGTTGGCTACTAGATCGCATGTTAGGCTCGTCTGGGTATGCATTGGCCTAGGTGGGGTATAGGTTGTCTTCTTGTTGAGATTTATTCTCATTGCTGTAGTGCAAACCTTTTCAGATCCCCATCCTTAAGCATGCCGCCAGCGAGGCATTTTGGGGTCCCCATGCATACGGTGCATGACGAGATCGAATATCCGGTAGGCCCAGATCAGTTTAACATTAGGCACCTTACAACAGTCTGGGTAGATGTAGGCTTAGAGGACTTACAGTGCCATACCTATTTGGCCTAGTTTCATTGTGTTGGGTTGGAGACTACTGGGCCAATCCGTGGTTTTGAGAGGCTACAGCATACTAGCGAGGATGCGGTGAATTGGGAGCCCTGGGACAAGTATACTCCCGATGGCGAGGTGACGGATCCCGACGATCTACCGGAGAACCCAGAGCCAGAACCCGAGCCTGTACCAGAGCCAGAACCCGAGCCCGAGCCCAAGGAGGAGCCTATGGTGTCTGAGCACGAGGAGGAGCTATGGTATCCGAGCACGAGGAGGAGCCGATCGAGATCGACTAGGACACGGAGTCAGAGCCTTCAAGGTCCGATTCAGATTGGGCACCATAAGGGTGTTTAGGTGTTGGGCTTAGAAGCTTTTTGATAGAGCCCTTTTTGTGTATTCCATAGTTTACCCTACCGCCGGTCCCTTTTGATGATGAAGGTGGATACTAACCTTAGGAGCCTATTGCATGAAATTGTGGTCTCAAGCTTTTATTATGAAGTTATTATTTTGGGCTATCCCTCCGTCATTATTTATTATTTGGGTTGTTTGATTTCCGCTTCTGCTTGCGTTTATCTTCGCGTGTTTCGTTTGGATCGGCGACGCGTCTTGGGACGTTGCGTTCAATACGACCTTCGAGGGGTGTCGCGAGCCCGTTGGGGTTCGGGGCGTGACATCCCCTATTGATTTGGTATCAGAGCAAGGTCAACTTGATCCAAATTGGTCGAAGCCTGGAGTGATAAGGAGCGATGACTTTAGGGTAGCTAGTTAGGGAGACTCGTGTGCCATGCGTATCCCAGACTGTTTGATTGTGATTGCTGAGTGATTTTATGCAATAATATGTGAGGTGCAGGTGCGTCAGGACCTGAGGTAAGTGCACGAACTCTGTTGGTTGTGATTGGATGTTGTTTGTGATTGGCTGCCTGCTTAGTGAATTGTTGTTGTGATTCACTGCCTAGGGCTTTAGACTGGTATAGTTGGCTTAGGTCTCTAATTCCTGCGTGGAATTATAGTAGGTAGGCGAGGGTGAGATCCCATGGGAATGAGTGGCCGAGGAAGAGGTCGAGGTCGAGGTCGAGGTTGTGTTCGTGTGGCCCCGCAAGCTAGAGTTGCAGAGGATCCCCGGGTGGATGGAATTCTGAGGGTACTACAAGAAGTCGGAATTTTAATGGGTAGACAGACTGAAGAACGGAATGCTATTGTCGCTGCTGCTGCTGAGGCCGCTGTTGCCGTTGCCAACGGAGCCAATGGGAATAATGGAAACCATGGAAACGATGGGAATGACGGGAATGGTGGGCACCCCGCTCAGGGCCAAGTATAGGCAAATAGGCCGATGTCTAAGCTGGTTGAGCAGTTTTTGAAGTTGAAACCTCCGAGGTTTGATGGAAGAGGTAATACTGAGGCTGCACCTCGATGGGTGGAAGAGCTAGAAAAAGCCTTTGAGGTGCTGGGATGCACTGAAGAGGAAAAGGTAACCCTAGCAGTAAACCGGCTTCAGGAAAATGCAAGCGATTGGTGGAGAGCTACCAGAGGTCAAGTGTTCTCTGCTGGCACTGCTTCGACTTGGGCCATATTACTGAGACCTTCAATGGCAAGTATTTCTCGAAAAGTGCCCGAGAGCAGAAATTGTCTGAGTTCATGAGACTTCGCCAGGGTCAAATGTCTGTGGATCAGTATGAAACCGAGTTTGCAAGGCTGTCCAAATTTGCCCCAAGAATGGTAGAGGACCCAGTGGACAAAGCCAGGAGGTTCCGGGATGGGTTGAAGCCGGACCTTCGCAGTCAAATGATATCGATGAACCTGAGGGGTTATCATGAGATATATGACCGAGCTCAGGCAATTGAGCGAGATTTGATGGATCGGGCTGCCGCCTCTGGATCGAGGCTGGCCCCAGCTTGGGACAACCGTCGTTTTGGGAAGAGACCCATGATGGGAAATAATCGTTTTGTCCCTCCCGTTCAGAGAAATATCGGGAAGCCAAACCATTATCAGAACGCCCCGTGTAGGCTATGTGGAGGGAGACACAGGAATGGACCTTGCCTAAATAGGGGCGAAGCGTGCTTTAAATGTGGCGGAAGGGGCCATCAGATGAGGGAATGTCCCAACAACAGGAAAGTTAGGTCACCTGCGCTACTGCCACCATCACCTCGGAATGGGAATCAGTTCGGAGCTATTCAACCGGTTAATCAAAATAGGCCGCCGGTCCAAGGACGAGTATATGCAATGGCGAGGAGGGAAGCTAAGGACGCGTCTGGCGTGGTCACAGATACGGTTTCTCTCTCTCTGTGATCATGCTGCATATGCTTTATTTGATCCGGGGGCGTTACATTCGTTTATATCTGAGCAATTCGTTAGATTGTCTGGAATTGAGCCGAAACTGCTTGAAGTTATGTTGTGTGTGAGTACTTCGCAGAATGATAAAGTGCTGATTGCGTTTGGATGCTCTGATTGTAAGATAGTGATTGGTGATAGGGAAGGAAGGATAGATTTGGCGGTTTTAGCCATGTATGACTTTGATGTGATTGTTAGTATGGACTGGTTAGTTAAACAGAAAGCTGTAATGGATTATAGTAACAGGGTGATCCAATTTAATCCGATTGGACATCCGAGATTCGAATTTGTGGGAAACCGAGGAGGAACCTCGATCCCTTGAATCTCGTCACTTGAGGTGACAAAGCTGTTAGACGAAGGGTGCCAAGGATTTCTGGCGACTGTAGTTGATTCGACGGCCGGAGAGCCGAGGCTGGAAGACATAGCCGTGGTGCGCAATTTTCCCGATGTCTTTCCTCAGGAATTACCGGGATTGCTACCTGATAGAGAAGTAGAGTTCATGGTTGAGTTGGCCCTTGGAACAGAACCGATCTCGAAAGCGCCTTATAGGATGCCGTTGCTAGAGTTGAAGGAATTAAATATTCAAATGCAGGAGTTGTTGGATAAGGGCTTTATTCGCCCGAGTGCGTCTCCATGGGGAGCGCCAGTATTATTCGTGAGAAAGAAAGATGGGTCTTTGAGGTTGTGCATTGACTACAGACAGTTAAATCAGGTGACCATTAAGAATAAGTACCCACTACCAAGGATAGACGACCTGTTTGATCAGTTGCAAGGAGCATCGATATTTTCTAAGATCGACTTGAGGACGGGTTACCACCAATTGAGGATTAAGAAGGAGGATAAATCAAAAACGGCATTTAGGACGAGGTATGGGCATTATGAGTTTACGGTGATGCCGTTTGGATTGACTAACACCCCTGCAGCCTTTATGGATTTAATGAATCGGGTACTCAAGGAATTTCTGGATCAGTTTATAATTATATTCATAGATGATATCTTGGTATACTCAAAGAGTTCAGCCGAGCACGAGTTACACTTGGAAAAAGTTCTACGGACCTTAAGGGAACATGCACTCTACGCTAAGTTCAGCAAGTGCGAATTCTAGCTTCATCGAGTGGCTTTCTTAGGACATGTGATATCTGGAGAAGGAATTGCAGTGGATCCGACAAAGATTGAAGCCGTCACGAATTGGCCGAGGCCAACAACAGTGACCGAGGTTCGGAGCTTCTTGGGTCTAGCAGGTTATTACAGATGCTTCGTGGAAAGGTTTTCGGTATTAGCGACACCGTTGACGCGGTTACTAAAAAAAGAAACGAGGTTTGAATGGACGGATAAGTGTGAAAAAGTTTCCAGGAGTTAAAACAGAGGTTGACGACCGCACCAGTGTTGACCATCCCGTCAAGTCCGGGAGGATATAAGATCTACAGTGACGCATCGCTAAGGGGATTGGGATGCGTGCCAATGCAACACGGAAGAGTAGTGGCATACGTATCACGACAATTGAGACCGCATGAGCTGAATTATTCGACGCACGACTTAGAATTGGCCGCGATTATCTTCGCTCTTCAAATTTGGAGACACTACTTGTGTGGGGAGAAATTTCAGATTTATACGGACCATCAGAGTTTAAGGTACTTGTTCTCCCAAAAGGAATTGAACATGAGACAGCGTCAGTAGATGGAACTCCTTAAGGACTATGACTGCGATATTCTATATCACCCCGGAAAAGCTAATAAAGTAGCGGATGCACTGACCCGGAAATCGAGTATTGCGCATATGATGGTCAAGGAATGGACTCTGTTGGAAGGAGTGCCGGATTCAGAGTTTAAGTTTGAAGTGAGTCATGTCTCAAGTCTGCTTGCAGCATTAAGGATTGAGCCGGATATCTAGACTAAGATTAAGGCTTTACAGTCAACGGACCCGGAGATTCAGAAGGTTCTAAAAATGGATGTCGCAAAAAGGAAATCGGACTTTCAAGTACCCGAGGATGGGATTCTGAAATTCCGTGGAAGGTTGTGTGTGCCCGGTGATGCAGAACTGAAGGAAGAAATTTTGTCAGAAGCTCACCGTAGTAATTACAATATTTACCCGGGTAGTACGAAGATGTATCAGAACTTGCGACAGCATTATTGGTGGAATGGCATGAAAGTGGATTGGCCAAGCACGTGGCCAAGTGTTTAACATGTCAACAAGTAAAGGTGCAACATTGCAAGCCGGGTGGAATGTTACAGCCATTGAAAATCCCCGAGTAGAAGTAGGAACACATCATAATAGACTTTGTCATGGGATTACCGAGGAGTCAGAGGGGTCATGATTCAATTCGGGTGATAGTCGATCGATTGACAAAGTTAGCCCATTTTCTGCCGGTGCGAAAGGACTTCACCTTGGAAAGGTATGCCGAGATATACGTGCGACAAATAGTCCATCTTCACGGAGTGCCAGTGACGATTACTTCAGACCGTGACCCTAAGTTTATTGCCGCTTTTTGGAAAAGTCTTCATACGGCATTAGGAACGAAGTTACAGTTTAGCACGGCCTATTATCCCCAAACGGATGGCGAGTCTGAAAGGATGATTCAGACATTGGAAGATATGCTGCGGGCATGTGTATTGGATTTTAAGGGTAGTTGGGAGGAACAGTTGCATTTGGTGGAATTTGCTTACAACAATAGTTATCAGCAGAGTATCAGAATGGCACCATTTGAAGCGCTGTATGGCAGAGCTTGCAGAACATCGGTTTGTTAGGATGAAGTTGGTGAGAAAAGCATCACGGGTCTAGAGTTAGTTCAGCAGTCAGTCGAGACCGTTAAGGTGATTCGGGACAGGCTTAAGACTGCTCAGAGTCGCCAAAAGAATTATTGAGACTGGAGACGTAGGCCTTTGGAATTTCAAGTATCGCCTATGAGAGGATTGTCACGGTTTGGCAAGAAAGGGAAGTTGAACCCAAGGTACGTGGCCCATTCGAGGTCTTAGAGAGAATTGGCACTTTGGCCTATCGTTTCGCACTACCGCTAAATTTGTCCTAGG